CTTCTGAAGTATACATTGGTCGCGTCTCATTGACAATACTCGCGTCCCCGAAGACACCATCCCTTGTTAATTAATCCTTCTTCGCGTACCCAAATTCATAAACCTTTGTATTGGCACTTGCAAAGCCACAGTCCTGTATAAAAGGCCCCCGAGACGGTACAAGAGGCCTCCGAGACGGCCCAAGAGTGCCCCAAGGCGCCCAAGATGGCCCAAAGACGGCCCAAGAGGCTCCCAAGAGGCCCCCAAGAGCGCTCCGAGAGCACCCCCGAGAGGGGCCCACGAGGCCAGCATCTGCGATGCTCCCTTAGGTTATCGATGGACTTGGCACGCTCGCCGTTTCGGGCTTCCGACGCTCCAGGACGGCCCAAGAGCCCCCCGAAGAGACCGCCCCGAGACGGCCCGAGAGGGTCGTCGAGAGCGCCCCAGGGCGGCCCACGACGCTCCAGGGCGGCCCCACAAGACCCCCCCGAGACCGCCCCGAGGCGGCCCCCGAGAGGGCGCCCCGAGCCGGCCCGCGAGGGCCCCACGAGAGGGCCCCCGAGAGCGACCCGAGACCGGGGACCCGAGCCCGGGGTGGCCCCCCGCTCGGAGCCCCGACGCCGCCGCACGACGGCGCCCGGGCCTCACGGCAGCACAGCGCAGCTCTCGCAGCACCCGGTCTCCGAGAGAGAGAGGATGTTTCCACGACGAGAAAATAGGCATCGGAAACCTTTACATCAGCAGCGTTCAAAACCTTATCACTCCTTTCTGAGGTACGGCGACAACGCTGGTTCAAGTCTTTCGATCCCCAGGTCAGAAGGGTGCCATCAGATTTCAAAGCTGCAGGGGGCGGCGGCGGCGGCGGGGGACGAGGTCCTTACGGAGATGTGTGCTACAGCCGGCCTTGCTTGGGGAGGGCACGCGAGAGGACACAAGGACCCTTCCGAGGGCCACATCGCCATTGGAGTGCAAGAAGGCACGTGTCGCGAGGCACTGGGCACAAGGGTACCCTTGAGCTGGCAGGGCCGACCGGTCGACCTACTAATCCGGGCCGACTGTATTCACAAACAGCCTGGCACCCTGATCTGCCAAAGTTCGCCACGGGAGCTGGCAGCCCCACCCGTCGCCCAGGGTCTCGACGAACTGGCTTCACAAGAAAGCAGAACCCCTTACGAAGAAGTAGGGATTCCGTCCAGCTCCGCAGGGTTTGCTCAGACGGCTCACACGCGAAGTGTAGAAGGAACGATCAGATAGCGGAGGAGGAGGGTGATGAGGGCCAGAAGGGTGAATCCGATGAGGGAGGGCAGCAGGACGCGCGAGGAGGGAGGAGGAAGGACGAACGGGACAGAGAAGGAGAGAGGAGGGGGGAAATACGAAATATGGAGGAGGAGCGACAGAAGGATGAGGGGAGCGATGAAGAAGGAAGGCGCAGGAGGAACAGGGGAAGGGGGAAGAGGCTTGAACAGTCTTGGACACCGACGAGAGGCCGTATGTATAGGTGCGAGAGAGCGTGATCCATCGCCACTTTACTGTGGAAAATTCCCCCCCCCCCCCCCCCCCCTCTTCCTCTGGAACCCGGGGACCCCCCCCCCTCCGAAAATCCCCCCCCCGGTTCGAACCCCCCCTCCCCCCCTCCAAAACCGGAGACAAGGGTCACTACCGGTTCGAACCTCTCCCCACCACCACCCCTCACCGCCAGCAAACGACTCCCGGTGCCTACCACCGTCCTCACAACGTCCCCCACTGTTGTTCCCAGCACCACTGTCCTCACCACCACCATCCCCACTGGTTCCACCACCGCCCCTACTGTCCCCACCAGTGCTACCACCACTGTCGCACTGTCCCCACTGCTGTCCCCACTGTCCCCACCACTGTTCCCACCACGGTTCCACTCTCCCCACTTTCTCCACGGCCCCAACCACTGCCCGACTATCCCCACTGTCCCACTGACTCCTCCGCTGTCCCACTGAGCTGTCCCACTGTTCCCACCACTGTCCCCACTGTCCCCACCACTGTCCCCACTGTACCTCTGTCCCATTGTCCCACCGCCGTCCTCGCCACCGCCTTCACCACTGTCCCCACCACCACTGTACCCTCCACTGTCCACTGTTTCCACCACATTCCCACTGTCCCCACACCACTGTCCCCACCACCACCGTCCCCACCACTGTCCACTGTCCCCACTGTTCCACCACCACTGTCCCCCCACTACCGTCCCACTGTCCCCACCACTGTCCCGCTGTCCCCTCACCACTGTCCCCACCACCACCGTCCCCACCACTGTCCGCACCCCCCCCCGGTTTTCGAGGGGGGGAGGGGGGTTCGAACCGGTAGTGACCCCCCCCCTTTTCATGATGGACTGGGGGGGGGGAGGGGTTCGAACCGGTAGTGACCCTCCCCGGTTTTCCGAAGCGGGGGGGGGGAAGGGGTTCGAACCGGTAGTGACCCCCCCGGTTTTCCGCCAGCAGCGGTAGAACACGCTCTTTCATAGGTGCTGACTTGCCATGCCCGAGGCCCGATCCTCCGCTGTTTGTGCATCTGTGCGAACGCGTCGGCGATGTCGGTAGAGGTGATCTCCTCCCAGTCCTGGAACTTGATGAACTCGTCGCCGCTGTGCCCTGCGCGACGCAGCGGGGAAGGAAAGAGGAACACCTTTCAGAAGAAGCCGCAGGAGCAGCTGCAGGAGCAGGATGAGGGGAAGGAGCAAATGGGGGAGGTTGGAAGAAGGACGAACATCAAGAACGAATAGTAGGAAGGAAGAACGGGGAAGGTAAGTGTGAGGTGGGCGACGACAAGGAGCAGAAGGAATCCAGAGAAAACGCGATGAACGGTTGCAAATTATCCTGGCGAAGGACCCAACCATTTACAACTGCGAGTCTCGCGAAGCCAATGGGATACAGGGGGGGCGCACGAATCGTGTTCAGGGTGTGCCTTCATGGACGGGAAAGACGGATGCGAACGGTGTCGCTGAAACCTTCGGTGCAACTTCCTGCGGGGCCACGAACCGTGTGATTGGCGTGCCGTAGAGGGCGGGGGCGAAACGCATGCGAACAGAGACGCTGAATCCTTGTGCGGGGCTCAATTTTGGCCCACGAACCGTTTGAAAGGTGTGACGGAATGAGCGGGGGAGACGCATGCTAACCTGGGGCCTTGGGTGGGATTCCCTATGGGGCCACGAACCGTGTCAGCGGTGAGCCGTAGTTGGCGGGTGAAACGCATGCGAACGGTGGCTTTGTGGCCCTGGGTGGAGCTCCCGATGGGGCCAGGATGCGTGTGAGGGGTGTGCCGCAATGCCTGTGGGAAACGCGTGCGAATGGCTGCGCTGGGGCCTCGAATGGAACTCCCTAAGAGGGCCACAAACCGTGTGAAGGGTGTGCCGTGATGGGCGGGGGCAGGGCGCATGCGAACGGCTGTACGCAATCGCTGGGGCCTTCGGTGGGGCTCTCTATGGGGCCACGAATCGTGTGAGGAGTGTGCCGTCATGGGCGGGGGACGCATGCGAACCCTGCAACTGGGGAACTCGGTGGAGCGCCCTGTGGGAGCCACGAAACGTGCGAGGGGCGCGCCGTAATGGATGGGGGAGACGCACGCGAACCGTTCCGCTGGGGCCTCGGGCGGAGCTCCCTATGGGGCCACGACGCGCATGAAGGGCGCTCCGGAACGGTGTGGGCCAGGTATGCGAACGCAGCCACTGGGGCCTTCGGTGGAGCTCCCTATGGGACCACGGGCGAGTGAGGGGTGTGCCGAAGTGGTCGTGCGGAGGGCAGACGCAGGGATGGGAGGAAGGGGGAGGAAGGGCGGCGGGAGGTGAGACACGGGGCGCCGTCCCTTCCAAACGAAGACCCAACACCACAGGATGGTTCGGACATGTACACTCCCGCTGCCTGCTGCTCCCTCTTCTGCGCTGCCCCTGCCCATCCTGCTCGCACTCCCGACTCTGGGATTTCGGGGGATGCCGAAGGGGTTTCTCTTCTTCCCTTTGGAAGGTCTGTCCAGAGCTCGGGAGGCGGCACATGGAGCTCGCAACAAAGGGGCGACTGACGGACACGTGTACGTTCGATGCCGGTGTTTCGAGTAACCTGTTCCCCGTGCGCAGGCCGGTGGCAGTATTTCCGTCCACCGGGTGCACGCTCCCGTGCTTTCAAGTACTTCGCCACTGCTCCGGGCGCATCCATGTTAAGCTCTGCTCTTGTCGAATGGGCCCTGGACAGAAGATGGCCACATCATGCCAACCAGCAGTGCAGCTAGAGGATACCATGAAAATCAAGTTGGAAAGATGGGACGCGAGCGGTGTGTACGCTGTGGATTCTGACAGGCGAGGAGACGTGAGGGGAAGACTGTGTCCTGTGATGAAGATGAAGACGTTGCTCATGGAGTCCGTGAGCAGCCGCTTATTGCGCGGCGTATTGGGCGGGTGGCGTCCTGGCGGCTTGCACCTCCTCCTCCTCCTGCAATTCCTTCCCACCACTGCGCTTCGGATCTGCGATGGCATGCTGAATTGGAGGGCACGGTGACGGTGACGGACGAGCCCGGGACTCCCGCGAATGACAACTACATTCAAAGCACCAATAGCAACACGAACTCTGTAAGCATGGAAGAGCGACAGGACTTGCAACAACTGTTGCAATCACCACGCGTATATATATATATATATATATATATGTCGAGAAGGCCTGCTACCATCATGCCGTGTTCATTCGCAGCGCCCTAGGAGAAACTCCACCAGGAGACATGGCGAGGTTCGTTAGGACACGTCCGAGACAGTATAGGTCAGCAGCGCAAAGCAACATTGACAGACAGACCAACTACCGCGATTACGTCTGTAACATGAGGATGTACGGGGTAAACATGCTCAAACGCAGGCAGGATTCCTGTCAGGAGCCGGATGAAGTTCTCGACAGATACCTCGTCACCGCGGTAGTCCACCTCCCCTCGCGCCACGCGACCGCGACGCAAGAGGAGGCTCTGAGGATCCCTTGTGAGCACTCTCCAGCCAGGAAAAGAGGGCCCTGTGATCTCCGAGACGGCTTCGAAACGTCCAGCATCGACGCCGACTTCAGACACGCAAGCGTCAGGAGGCGCCCGCGCCAGCCAAGCAAAACGCGCCGGGCGGAAGGAGCATATAGAAACACGAAGCAGGAAGGCGGATGAAGAAGATCGGGTTCGGGCCCGCCCAAAGCATAACAAACAGGCGCCAAAGCATATCGATTCTTGAAGTAGGGAGGCGATTGACGTATATTGGGTTCTGGGGATCCTAGAATACATACTTTCTGAGCATTTTCTTAGGGTGGAAGGCTCAGGGTGAAATCCATATGGTCTTTTGCACCTCGAAAATCAATCCGCCTTGTGATTCACCGCTTGCAGATTCAAGCCTCGAAAATCCATCGAAACGGCGAAACGGCATTTCAGATTTCACCCTGTGCCCTCCACCCAAAGAAAATGCTCCGACTTTCAACGACCAGCGTGTATTGCGAGCCACAGCGGCAGGAGGCGCGACGGGGCCGGCGCAGCAGGGACGTCGCAAGACCCTGTGCCAACGCCTCAATGGGCGCGCGACCCGCACAGACGGATCCGGAGCCGCCGGCACCTCTCATGGACGCTCCCGCAGTTGGGAAGGAGGGAGGGAAGAGGAGGAGGAGGAGGAAGAGGAGGAGGAAGAGGAGGGGAGGAAGGGAGGAAGGGAGGGAGGAAGGGAGGAAGGGAGGGAGAGAGGAAGGGAGGAAGGGAGGAAGGGAGGAAGGGAGAAAGGGAGGGAGGAAGGGATGAAGGGAGGTAGAGAGGAGGAGGAGAAGGAGGAGGAGGAGGAAGAGGAAGAAGGGAGGAGGAGGAGGAAGGGAGGAAGGGAGGGAGGAAGGGAGGAAGGGAGGGAGAGAGGAAGGGAGGAAGGGAGGAAGGGAGGAAGGGAGGAAGGGAGGGAGGAAGGGATGAAGGGAGGTAGAGAGGAGGAGGAGAAGGAGGAGGAGGAGGAGGAGGAAGAAGGGAGGAGGAGGAAGGGAGGAAGGGAGGGAGGAAGGGAGGAAGGGAGGAAGGCAGGTAGGGAGGAAGGGAGGGAGGGAGGGAGGGAGGAGGAGAGGCGGCTGGGGGAACGGGTCAAAGGGGGGGAGTGGGAAGAGTTGTTGCGGAGATGTGGGGGCGGGAAGCGAGCGAGGGCTTTGGGGGAGACAGTGGGGGCTTGGATCAGGAAGGGGAATGGGGGGAAGGGGGCGGGAGGGGGGCAAGCTACGAGCGCTAGCGCGCAAGAACTGACATCCGACCCCTCCCACCCATCCCTTTCTCGTTGCGCTGAGTTGTTTCTATCTGCTGGCTGGAGTGTCTTAGTGGTCTTGCTGCCCAAAGTGCTCCCATCGCGAGGTGACAATCAGAAAGAGAGGGTTCTGTACATCGAAAGAGGGGGAGCAGGACAGAGACCATTCTTCAAGAATGCGAGACCCTACGGCCAAAGCACACACAACATCCGAGGGTATCCTTCCCAAGATGCACAAGAACATCAAACAAACACGAAGAACATTAGGGTACCCTCTCCGAACCGACCTCGATCTTACAACCCGGTCCTCGGTCCAGCTGTAGGAGGAAGAGGAGGAGGAGGAGGAGCAGGAAGAGGAGGAGGAAGAAGGGTGAAGAGGAGGAGCGGCAGCAGTAGCAGGAGGAGCAGGGGAAGGAGGCGAAAGGGGCGGGGGGGGGGAAGGAGGGAAACGAAACCGACGAGGAAGCAGTGGGATCAAGCAGCGTGGCCCGCACTGGGGAGCGAGAGCGCAAATCGGCACGACGGGAGCAGATCACCCGAAGCTGACATGTGACCACACTGCTGCACTGGCACCACTTTTGCACAACCGGGGTCGTTCAGATGAGGTGGGCCCGGCGCGACCCCAATTTGGAGGAAGCTTCCCTAGTAACTAAGCAAGGAAGGCATTTTTGTTTGCCATCGTTTGTCCCTGCTGCGCATTGCTTTGTACTGGCTGGCATTGCGGCAGTGCCTGGCATTGGTTTGCATTGCTTTTTTCATTGCTTTGCACCGGCATTCCTGCATGAACTCCACAAGGCCGGAGAAGCCTAGGAACACGACTGGGGAGCCCGAGAAAGTAAGACAAGGCACGAGACAAGAGAACCGAGGACGGACAAGGGAAACAAAGAACAAGACCAGGGAACCCGAGCAAAGCACTAAGAAAACTAAGACCAGGCAACCGACCAAGGTTGGGCCCGCCGTCGCATTGGGGGGTGGCGCCCACCGGTTCTTCACAAGCGAATAAGATATACTTAGTCGAGCTCAATATAAGAAAACACATATGAAATATGAATGGTGGAAATACTGCATGTATGAACGAATATGCGGGACAGCCTATGGCAAACCAATCTAGCAGCAAGGGAGAACAGGACATGTATCCATGCTGTGCAACTGTGAGAAAGGAGTGTGGGAGGGAAACGCGGCACACCTGCCATCCTACCCCGCCCTAATCCATCCCTTCCTATGTTACTGGGTCCTATTCAATCCAGCGAGTGGGGTGTCCCAGAAACCAATACACTCAAATGGCAGTCGCAGGTCTTGTCCCATCGTTTGATGTACTGCCGGCGAAATACATTGGATGAGAAGGACCTGCAGCCAGGGGAGGCAGGGGGAGGCGGGGAAAGGGACAGGAGATGAACGGCAACGCCGAGGGAGTTCGATTAAACAATGAAACCCTCGTTGGGCTGCAGGAGCCGCACAAATATTCAGAGGCCCCATCCGTTCTGGTTCACAACCAAATACAAAACACAGCGATTGAACTCTTGTGTGCAAGCCCCGCGCGGCAGGGTGCAGTAAACGGCAGCACGTTGTCAGGGTGGAAAGGAGATTAGTAGTAGTCGGGCATGTTCCCTACAGGCGGATTTTGGACGAAAAATAAGAAATACTCAAAACAAATACGCCCACTAAAATGGTCAAAAATAGTCAAACCTACTTTTTGACTATTTTTGAATGTTCCTCTTGTAGAGGGACAGGCCCGACTTAGATCAAAGGTCCTCCTCCTCCTCCTCCTCCTCCTCCTCCTCCTCCGCCTCCGCCTCCGCCTGTAGCCGGAAAACGAAAACGCCACCTGATCCCAGAGTGGTCCTCGGAGAAGAAAAGAATCCCCTTTGGAGCCTCACTCGCGTCCGTGTCGTGCGCATGAGGAGCATCAGGGGACGGCTTACAGAAACCCCAGGAACATCGAACCCAGTGGACCCTTCTCCACAAGATGCCCGCTGCAGTTGCGGAGAGGCTAGGAGGGGATGCGAGCGAGGGGCAGGGAGAAGGGAGGGGGAGGCGCAGCAATCGAGTCGAAGGGGGTGAAACTGGACTGCTACGTGCAGCGAGGGGTCTCCTTGCACTGAAGCGCGCCGCCTTGCGGAGAAGGCAAGAGCCCAGAGATCCGACGTCGTGATCTTTTCAATACGGGGTCCCCGGAAGGCTCGACCCATTTCCCAGGACCGGTTTCTCAAACTGAGTCGTACTTGACGGCCCTGGGGCCCGGCGAGGGCCCCTAGAGGCAGAAAAAAACGAAAAACCTCCGTCTCGATTTTTTCAGTACGTCGGATCTCTGGGAACGAGGAGAATGGTGGATGAAGAAAGGGGCGAGAATCCCCAACGCGGCTGGTCCTTTTCGCATTCTAAAAACTTAGAGGTTCGAGGTTCTCAGGTGTGCTCTTCGCTCTTCTCCGACCTCGTGGGGGGAACTCTCACCGCCAAGCGACTAGAGATCCGCTTCGATAGCGTTTCCAGGACGTGTCCGAGAATCGACTTTGGGATCCCATTCCCACTCTCCTTCCCTCCCTCCCCTTCCCCCCCTCCTTCCCTCCCTCCTCCTTCCCTCCTGCCCTCTCCCCCTCTTCCTCCCCCCCCCTCCCCTCTCTCCCCCCCTCTTCCCTCTCCCTATGCCCAGAGCCCTGGCGACACGAACACGTCTCTACGGAAAACTGTGGACCATGTCTGGCCTGCGAGGGCCCCCAGCAGCCCCGCCGAGGAAACGAACAACTGCCCAGGTGCGACACCGGTCCAGGAGGAGGGGCCCACACCTCCAGGCGGGCACCCCGCTGTAAGAGGAAACCGCTACGTCGGGGGTCTGATGGGGCGAGGGGCGGGAGGACGATGAAGACACGGATGCTGACGCGAAGGGAGGCAAACGAGAGGAGGGAGCGGAGGGGAGGGACGGGGAGGAGGAGAGGAAGCGAGGAGGGAGCGGGGGCGTGCCATGAGTGGTGAGAGAGGGGGGAGTATGGAGGAAGGAAGGGAATGAGGAGGAGCAGAAGGAAGGGCCAGGAGGTAAGATAAAGGTTGAGGATGATAGGCAAGGGGGAGACCATGAGGACCAGGAGGATGGATGGAACACTGTGTTGTTACAGGCAATCACAGACTATCATGCCGTGCTCGCATACACGCGCGCATGGAACTCCCAAGTTCGCATGCGCTCCCAGAGTGGCGCAAGCGCGGCCTGTCTTCACCTCAATACTGGGTGGGATCTGCTGTACCAGGTTGGCACGAACGGGCAAGAGGGGGATTCACGCCACTGAAGACTCAGTGCTGCTTCGACCCCTGACAATGATCTACATCGTACCCCAGAGAGATTGAATTCCGATCGGGTTGCGGTACCTGTGGCCCTGGGCTCAAGCCCAATGGAATCAAGAAACTAAGGCAGACGGTGAGTGCAACAGTGGGGGGGAAGACAAGAAGAGGGAAGAAAGATAATGTGGATCAGGTTCGGAATGAATGGGGCAGAAGGAGGGCGGAGGGAGGAGAGCCATATGTACTAATAAGCGAGCGAGGGAATACGAGGGCCATATGGAATAAGCGTGAGGATGCGGAGGGCTATATGGATGAACAGGCGTGAAGGATGCGAGGGCCAGATGTAACACTAAGAAGAAGAATGGATACGAAGATGACGAGAAGCCGGGCAGGAATACTACGAATGATCCTAGTGTGCCGCCCTCGCGCTCACAAGTAATGGGACGCAGAGCATAGGCCATGCACGGAAGAAGCGCCACGAGACGAGGCAGACAAGCGCGGAGGCGGCCAAGGAGCGAATGCCGATGCCCTGGGCGCAGGGGAGGCGCCGCGCTCTGACACGGCTCCGAGGGCGTCCGCCTTCGGACTCCGCGCTGCCCCGTCCGGGGGGGAGGCGGGAGGAAAGCGAGGCGTGGGGGAGACAGGATCGGGGATGTGGGGGGGAGAGAAGGGACTAAGTCAAACTGCGCGTTACTGCACGCTGCAACCCTTCTGGTAGAACTTCTGATGGTAATCCTCCGCGTCGTGCCACCTTGTCATGCGCGCGACGTGGAAATCGGGGTCGGTTTGCTTGCAATGTTCCCGCAGAACCTCCGCCTGCTTCTCGTTGTGATACCAGACTGCCGAGTGGTGCTGAGTCGTGGTACCAGACTCCCGAGCCGTAGTATGGTAGATCGCCCTTCCAGCAGACGCCAAACCCACCGGCGCTGGCGTGAGGCGACGAATACGGTCAAAGTGAATAAGAAGCGCATCGTAGGTGATCAACTCGGGGTCGAACTCTACGCGTATTGCTTCGGAATGCCCGTCCCCTAGCTGCACGCTCTCATGCGTGGGCTCCCTCTTCGTGTTACCGCCTGTGTAGCCCACCGTGGTGTTGACGACCCCGCTCACCTTCAGACTCCGTCCCTCATTGTCCCTCCCTTTTGCCCCTGCACTCGCTCATTCGCCTTCCTCCGTCACACCTCCCTCCGACCTCCCTCTTTACGGTCCCTCTGTTCTACCTCCCTCTGCCATCCGCCATCCCTTGCCCCGTTATCCATCCGTCCTCCATCGGGTCTCATCGCCAGCCTCCTCCCTCGCCCCTTCCCCATTTCAATTCTCCTCCAACTACTCCTCATCCCTTGCTCCTACTCGTTCTCTCGCTCCTCCTGGGCGGGCTTCGCCGCATCAAACAGCTGCTGCGACTTCCAGAAGCAGCCCGTCGAAAACGTCGCGACCTGGCGCGCGGCCGGGGGCGACAGACTCTGCTTGCGGGTGGGATATGCAAAACCGGAGGGGCGCTAGGCCACAAACTGGGCAGCTGGAGGAGGAAGCAGAAGGAGGGAAGACGGATAAGCGAAAGAGGAAGGAGGGAGGAGGAGGAGAAGAAATCAGGAGGCGCAGGAGCAGGAGCAACAGGAGGGTGGTCAGAAGCAGGTGGGAGGAGGACGCGGAGGAGGGAGGGGAGGAGGACCAACGATGACGCGACAGGAGGATCAGGGAGGAAGGACGAGGAGGGTGAGGAGGAACTTCAGGACCCAAGCGTTGAACAGGACAAGACACCGCTCGCTTATTCAATGTGCTCCTGCTTCTGCCGTCTTCGGGCTTGAAGGACGTCCAAGACTGCCTAACAAACCAACTACGTAGAGCAGCTCAGGGAGGCCAAGGCAAGCCTCAAAAGAACCCCAAGACACCTCGGGACCCAAGACGGCGATAGGCCCAAGGCGACAGCAAGTGTAGGTCGGGCGTGTCCTCCTGCAGATGGATATTGGAGAAAAAACATATTCAAAAATGCTCAAACATAGTCAAACATTAGCCTGGCGAAGGACCCAACCATATGCAGTTGTGAATACCGCAATTGTGAATACCATCTTCGCCCGCACTCCCTATGTGGCCACGGTTTTCCGCCGGAGCCCGACATGCTCAGGGACACGTTCGTGGCCGTCTTCGCGGGCGCCGACGACGACAAAGACGGCGTCCCTCTCACCGAGGAGCAGAAGCAGGAGAGGGCCTTGAGAGCCATGAGGGAGGAGGTGGCGTTGCACGTCGACAAGGCGGAGTACGACGCCCAGGCGCGGTTGTTGAAGCAGCACAACTATGGGGCCACGATCCTCGCGAGGGATGTGCCGCAATGTTCTGGGGCCGCCATGCGAACCCTGCCACTGGCGCCTTCGGTGGAGCTCCCTTATGGGACCACGGTCCTCGTGAGGGGTGTGCCGAAATGGCCCGAGGCCGCCATGCGAACCCTGCCACTGGCGCCTTCGGTGGAGCCCCTATGGGACCACGGTCCTCGTGAGGGGTGTGCCGAAATGGCCCGAGGCCGCCATGCGAACCCTGCCACTGGCGCCTTCGGTGGAGCCCCCTATGGGGCCACGGTCCTCGTGAGGGGTGTGCCGAAATGGCCCGAGGCCGCCATGCGAACCCTGCCACTGGGGCCTTCGGTGGAGCTCCCTATGGGGCCACGATCCTCGTGAGGGGTGTGCCGAAATGGCCCGAGGCCGCCATGCGAACCCTGCCACTGGGGCCTTCGGTGGAGCTCCCCATGGGGCCACGAAGCGCTGTACTGGGTGGGGGGGACGCATGCGGACGGTGGAGAGGAGGAGGGGGCAGCGGGAGACGCGGGGACCGTCTCTTCAAGACGAGGACCCAGCACCACAGGATGGTTGGGAATAACAGCACATCGTCTTTACTGGTTTTGAGCATTCCCCCTGTAGAGGGACGTGCCCGGCCTAACAGTAAGTGGCACTGAGAACGCTCCGAGACGGTCCAGAAAGGCTCCCAAGAGGGCACCCGGAGATGCCAGAGGGCCCCCTAAGTGAAGAGGCCCCAGGACACACAAATAAATACACACAAAGAAGAAGATTCCCCATAGTTTCCCATATGTCTTGGGTTTTTTGTCTTCCCCACCACTTCCCATATTTTTGCATATTTTCCTGGGAGTCGACGATTAATTGTGTCTGTGTGCTTCTTTCCCTCCTGACTAAAAGCGCCCCAAGATGGCCATAGCAGAAACCAAAGCTGACCCAAGTGGGCTTCAAGAGGCCCCATGAGGAGCCCAAAGGGCCGAAAAGAGTTCCAAAGGAGCCCCAAGACGGCCCACTCCCCAGAGTTCCCAACCAGCTGGGGTAAGATGCAATCCGTCAGCATGGCTACAGTTTCGCTCGAGATTTCGCTTCGTGGACAACGTAACGGCATAGGACGGGGCACCGAACGTGTGGCACCGCAGTGCTCAACTCAGCTTGACAATGTCGGGACACAATGGGACATCACCACGAGCTCTTGACATTCGCTGGGGCTGTGCCTGCGGCTGTACATTAGGCAGTCGGGTTCCCCCTGCACACTTACATTTTGCCTTCTTGCGCTGAGAGTGTGCACTTGAACTCGACTTCTTGGTCAACCTGATACCCAGGACAGAATGAGCCGTGCCAGTAACTCTGAACACGCCCTCCCCCCCTACTCCCAGCTGGGACGCCTCCAGGACCTCACGGACTTCGGGACACCTCGGGACACACTACAGTCCCACCATCACGAGCGCTAACTTCTCGAATGCACAAAATCACCTCTGCCCGCAACTTTTCCCAGGATCCACCACTGGCGATGCTCGACGAAAGGCAATACTGTGATCAACCGCGTAACCCGAAAGAGGTTCATCAGAGAAGGACCAATAAACGTGCAGGACACACGGCAGGCGAACAGTACGAAGGATAACGTCGACCGTCGCACACATCAGACCACGAGGCGACACCACAGGACAACCTTGGATACCGCGCAGGCACCCGCCGGAGCACTGGTACAACAGGGCGCTCGGGACACCAGGGTCGCCTCTCCTCTCATCCCCGCCAGCAGAGGCAGAAGCATCAGGAATAGACTCATCTGTCGACGCTCGCTGGAGCCTCGCGCCGCATGCATGACTCTACAGTCTGTATGCAGGGGAGGCGCAACAAAGACAGCCACATCCCCAAACATCGGGTCAATAACTGGTGCAGGATTTCCAATCCTCCGCTCATGCCCCTCCTTCCTTTACCCCCCTCCTCCCCTCCTCGCTCCTACACCTCTCCCATCCTCTCCCTCCCTCCATGGGTTCGACCGCTCCCTCTCCAGGTACTCCGTGCTAGGACTGCCGTGGGGCTTTGTGTAACCCAATCGTTCGACCTGGAGCGACCCCCGTGAAGCTTTCGTGATGGCTTGGACGCACTTCGTCAGCATTGTCGAATAGTCAGACATGACATTCGGCGGATAGAACTTGGATATCACCATGGATTTGACGTCGACCGGCTGCTTCGCCAAGAGATCGAATGCGGTGCCGTCGACAGGGTAGCGCTCGCGGAAAGCGGCAAGTTGATCCTCCTCCGTCGACGCCGCGGGCGCCACCTGTGCAGCGAGGATAGTTTTCAACGCAACTCCTTCAACCCGGACCAAATCTGAATTCTAGAACCGATGAGGGGCAGGACAGACAGGAAGGAGGGGAATTGGAAGAGGGGAGGAAGGGAGAGGAACACGGGGGGGCCAAAAAGAGACGTCTCCATGAAGCCGTAGTGGTACGGAATGCAGGACACCACTGCGAAGTGAAATGCCTCCGCTGCAAGAGCGTTAAGTTACCGCTTAGGTATTCACGCAGATATCCGAATATTGCGTCTCAGCGCGATACACCAAAATCCCCCCTCCCGAAAAAAGATACACCAGAGAAAAACCCCAGTCAGTGGATGGTTTGAACAGTTGGTGTGAGTATGAGAATGATCGTGAGATCGACAGTGAGATCCATAGTGCGATCGGTGGTGAGATCGATAGTGATATCGATCTCGCTCTATCGATCGATCGAATCAGGAACCGGGAACCCGGGAACCCCGCGATCGGGAACGCGGAACCGGGAACCCGAGAACCAAGAACCCGGAACCGGCAACCCGGGAACCTGGAACTGGGAACCCGATAACCTGGGGGCCTACCGAAATCGGCCGCCCACTTTCGCCAAATCCATCAAGATCCGCTGGGACCCCTTCAGTGACAGTACTGCTTGGGGAATTCATCACACCGGGCATTCCCACATCCTTTCCAGAGAGCCGTGGAAGCTGATTCTGGTTTCCAGAACTGTATACGAAGCGGGGTCCAAACTGTTTTAGGTAACATTCCTTGAATACGGAGGGATTGGAACTGTTGGTATTCATGGTTCCCGCGCCTCGCGATATAGGTCGCGGGTATTTGCGGCACGATGGTCGACGGCTCACGTATGCGGGCTAACTCTATGCCGCCACCGCGGCATACGCCTACAGAGGAGCGCGAACAACTGAATCAACACCTGCTCACATTCACGCATGCGTGAGGAAGAACACATGTCGAATAAGCGAGGGAGGCACCGAAGCCCCTGAACAGATGACACCGCAAACAACGCGCGCGTAAAATCCCAAGGATGGAAGCAGTCGGCAAGCAGCTCACCCCTCTTGTGACAGTACGGCGCCAACGCGCTCGGCGCTGTCGAAGCTACGGCAGTCCGCGCGGCAGCTATCTGCGCCAAAACAAGTGGCTCAAGTGGAGAGGCGGCCGCAGATGGAGGAGAGACGGAGGAGTCCCAATCTGATGATGTGCACCTGCTTGAGCGGAGCTGGCGGTCATAGGCTCCCGACAGGAGTCCTGCAAACAAGCAGCTCACACACGCACGCAGCAGACGCAAACGCATGCACGCGTCTGCTTCGTCCTTGGGACGCTGACTCGCACAAGTGGCAAATCAAAACATGCACCCCGTCATTAGAAGAAAAAGAATAAGAAGAAGAAAACACGCCATATACATACACTTTGGGCGCTCCGAGCGGAGTTCTGAATTAGATCCGCGCCGGAGGCGCCGCCGGGGGGGCCCAGGCTCGGATCCAAGAAATCCGCGCGGACTACCAATCAATTTTGTTTATGGCATTGTTTCTTCTTCGACTCATGCAGTTTGGATTAGAGAGCTGCGGCCACATTCGGTCGTCATCGACTTTCTGTGCGGCGGCGGAAGCAACCCACGATCCAGACGGGTCGTGAAGCACGGCGGTATACGAACCGAGGTGCAGCATATGCTCTCAGGGTCGCGCGGGTAGCCAACCCGCGCGGGGCGGCAAGGCGCCGGTAAGGCCAGGGAAAGAGAATGGGGCGCGGGCGCGCGCGCCGCGCCGACACACGGCAGGAGGGCACCACTTGCACGCCAGCACCGGTCATGGCCAGGATCACCCTGGCACCAGGATCGGTGTGTACGCCCTCCTGCCCTGAGTGCACATGCGCCGGTCCCTGGTCCAGGATCGGCCTGGCCATGGTCGGCGCAGGCGTACAGTCTTGGTACCCTCCGACACGGGGCGCGGGAGCTGCTCGCTGCGCCGTTTGCTCCCGGGCGACGGCGCGCGCGGGATCCCTCCGCCCCCGTCCGCCACGCAAGCGCAGCCCAGCCCTTCTCAGAGCCAGAGCAGGGGAAGGTGAAGACCCGAGATGGGAGGGGGCAGAAATGAACCGTGCACGGGTACAGGGCAGTTTTTAATACAGCTGATGTTTTGAAACATACGATTTTTAATACATGACTAATCTATGACTACATGTATGCATGAACTCATCGCTGTTTTTAGTGCTAAATCCCTGCATTTTTTATACATGATCCACACGCGGAGCACGTATTAATTAGCCTGACGAAAGACCCAACCATACGTAGTTGTGAATACCGGAATTGTGGATATATTCCTCGGTGGCGCCCCCGGGCCACGAAACGAGTGAGGGGTGTGCCGAAATGGGGGGGTGGAACCGCATGCGAGCGCAGCCACTGGGGCCTTCGGTGGAGCTCCCTATGGGGCCACGAAACGTGTGAGGGGTGTGCCAGAATGGGGGGTGGAACCGCATGCGGGCGCAGCCACTGGGGCCTTCGGTGGAGCTCCCTATGGGGCCACGAAACGTGTGAGGGGTGTGCCAGAATGGGGGGTGGAACCGCATGCGGGCGCAGCCACTGGGGCCTTCGGTGGAGCTCCCTATGGGGCCACGAAACGTGTGAGGGGTGTGCCAGAATGGGGGTGGAACCGCATGCGGGCGCAGCCACTGGGGCCTTCGGTGGAGCTCCCTATGGGGCCACGAAACGTGTGAGGGGTGTGCCAGAATGGGTGGTGGAACCGCATGCGGGCGCAGCCACTGGGGCCTTCGGTGGAGCTCCCTATGGGGCCACGAAACGTGTGAGGGGTGTGCCAGAATGGGGGGTGGAACCGCATGCGGGCGCAGCCACTGGGGCCTTCGGTGGAGCTCCCTATGGGGCCACGAAACGTGTGAGGGGTGTGCCAGAATGGGGGGTGGAACCGCATGCGGGCGCAGCCACTGGGGCCTTCGGTGGAGCTCCCTATGGGGCCACGAAACGTGTGAGGGGTGTGCCAGAATGGGGGGTGGAACCGCATGCGGGCGCAGCCACTGGGGCCTTCGGTGGAGCTCCCTATGGGGCCACGAAACGTGTGAGGGGTGTGCCAGAATGGGGGTTGGAACCGCATGCGGGCGCAGCCACTGGGGCCTTCGGTGGAGCTCCCTATGGGGCCACGAAACGTGTGAGGGGTGTGCCAGAATGGGGGGTGGAACCGCATGCGGGCGCAGCCACTGGGGCCTTCGGTGGAGCTCCCTATGGGGCCACGAAACGTGTGAGGGGTGTGCCAGAATGGGGGGTGGAACCGCATGCGGGCGCAGCCACTGGGGCCTTCGGTGGAGCTCCCTATGGGGCCACGAAACGTGTGAGGGGTGTGCCAGAACGGGGAGTGGAACCGCATGCGAGCGCAGCCACTGGGGCCTTCGGTGGAGCTCCCTATGGGGCCACGAAACGTGTGAGGGGTGTGCCAGAATGGGGGGTGGAACCGCATGCGGGCGCAGCCACTGGGGCCTTCGGTGGAGCTCCCTATGGGGCCACGAAACGTGTGAGGGGTGTGCCAGAATGGGGGGGTGGAACCGCATGCGGGCGCAGCCACTGGGGCCTTCGGTGGAGCTCCCTATGGGGCCACGAAACGTGTGAGGGGTGTGCCAGAATGGGGGGTGGAACCGCATGCGGGCGCAGCCACTGGGGCCTTCGGTGGAGCTCCCTATGGGGCCACGAAGCGTGTGAGGGGTGTGCCAGAATGGGGGGTGGAACCGCATGCGGGCGCAGCCACTGGGGCCTTCGGTGGAGCTCCCTATGGGGCCACGAAACGTGTGAGGGGTGTGCCAGAATGGGGGGTGGAACCGCATGCGGGCGCAGCCACTGGGGCCTTCGGTGGAGCTCCCTATGGGGCCACGAAACGTGTGAGGGGTGTGCCAGAATGGGGGGTGGAACCGCATGCGGGCGCAGCCACTGGGGCCTTCGGTGGAGCTCCCTATGGGGCCACGAAACGTGTGAGGGGTGTGCCAGAATGGGGGGTGGAACAGCATGCGGGCGCAGCCACTGGGGCCTTCGGTGGAGCTCCCTATGGGGCCACGAAACGTGTGAGGGGTGTGCCAGAATGGGGGGTGGAACCGCATGCGGGCGCAGCCACTGGGGCCTTCGGTGGAGCTCCCTATGGGGCCACGAAACGTGTGAGGGGTGTGCCAGAATGGGGGGTGGAACCGCATGCGGGCGCAGCCACTGGGGCCTTCGGTGGAGCTCCCTATGGGGCCACGAAACGTGTGAGGGGTGTGCCAGAATGGGGGTGGAACCGCATGCGGGCGCAGCCACTGGGGCCTTCGGTGGAGCTCCCTATGGGGCCACGAAACGTGTGAGGGGTGTGCCAGAATGGGTGTGGGAGGGGGAGGAGGGGGGAGGAAGGGGAGGAGGAGGCAGGAGGCAGGAGGAAGGAGGAAGGAGGAAGGAACGCGGGGACCGTCTCTTCAAAACGAGGACCCAACAACACAGGTTGGTTGGGAAAAAAAACGGCACTGTACCAGTGTGACCCGCTGGCGCGCCGTTCCCGCTCGTGGTGCCATTGCCCCCGCAGCGCAGAGGCACATCTTCTCACGGGGAGCCGACGGCAGCGGCCCGGCGTGGAGCCTGGGCGTGGGCTCTTCTCTATGCCAGCGTCCATGCCCACGCACCACTTGGTGTACGGTTTGTCAGTCACTCAGTCAGTCAGCACGGGTAGCGGGTGGACGATGCAAACGGCAGCAGTCAGCATTCGCCGTGGAGAGCGGGAGAGCCGCGGCAAGCAGCAGGGAGGCAGCGCGCTCGCGTCCGCCCAGTGGCCGAGGAAAGGGAGACCACAGGCGGCACAGCGCCCAGAGCCGTGGCGCAAGCTGGCACGGGGAGGTCGGGTTGAGGGCCTCCTCCTCCTCCTCCTCCTCCTCCTCCTCCTCCTCCTCCTCCTCCTCCTCCTCCTCCTCCTCCTCCTCCTCCTCCTCCTCTCTCCTCCTCCTCCACTCTCTTCCTGCTCCTGCTCCTGCTCCTG